TACAGCGCCACTTACAGGCCCGGCATATATACTACAGCGTTTCCAGTGGTCTCGTGTGAACGGACACGTTAAATGAGCCGAATGCGTGTGAACGGAAGACTTTTTTTAAAACGAATTCGGTGCGTAAATGGGGTCTAAGTTCAGGAAGAAAATAAAGGAGACCAATGGAGGTGTTTCAGACAGGGGGGGGGGGAGTGTGTGGGAGAGAATCTCCCTCTGGAGGGAACACAGGGATTTTAGACTTTGCAGGCCATTTACATGCACAAAAACCCGTATTACACACTACAGGTATGGAAAACCCCCCAAAACGTTAACTTGTAACCTTATTCCACCTCTCAAAAATAGACACAATTACAAAAAGCCCAAGGAAGTTTTCCATCTCATAATTCACAATAATAAGCCTTATACCATGAGCTTGTAGTTAAACATGCCAGGTTAATGTGAAATCTACCATAAAGATTGGATTTTACAGGATTACGCTATTGTACGCCCACATTTGGACTGAAAACGGCTGTTATACATCTCCCTGGGCTGTATTTATTTTTAATATATGTCTGGATAATCTTAACCCTTCACATTTCCTATCCTCTTTATTTGTCTTCATCACTAACATGCTTTGTGGTTAGATTCTAATCGGTATACTGTATAAGCAAAACTACCTCCATTAATCAAGTCTGACATATCACAGAACCACTTCTTGTAAGTCCTGAAGAGCACAGTCAGATTTCTGGGAGTCCGGGGCCGTCACTTAATACATCCTGGCATCATTGGATGATAAAATGTCATGGCTAGTTACGGCCAATGGGAGACTGGGACCAGCAGGGACAGTTACAGGACCGTAAAGACATGAGTCAACGTCTTAAAGACAGAAATAAGAGATGAGAGAAAGAAAGCTTTGTGAATAAATCGTGGGACAGACTTTATTAAGGCTGATTTATGATCCATTTTGCGTCCGTTCTAAAGACATTAGCATCTAGAGACATGTGTGTTAGCTGACAACACCTTGGCGCCCCAGTTTGTCACATAAAACACAACTTATGTCTACTTAGAAAAGGGCATCTTTCTCCTTTTTGTATGTCATCTAAAGGAGGATAAAAACGAATATTAGGAGACACGATGAGTGTGGCACACAGATGTTCAGCTGGGTAAGGAACATATTTGCTAAGAAAACTCTGTGGTGAAAAATATCTAGTTTTAATAACCTTTATTCTAGATCTGCAATGAATTAGTGACAAGTTTTAACTGTGGTCATAAAGTTTGAACTTAACGTGGCTTTGGCAGGAGCATTGAAGGCATCGCAGTGAGTGGTCTTCTCTTTCTCAGTTGTTAGTCAGTTATTTCGTTTTTTAAATGTATGTTTAATGACTTCCACTGGTGCTGTTTTACAACCACCCCATTACAAACATTATCAGTGATGTATTATGTTATAGTAGTGACTTTAATTGTAGCAAATGTAAGTTTTAAAATTGCCTAATTATATTAGCATTTTTTGTTTTTTATTACCATTTGTTTTTTTCCTCTAGTTTCAAAATTCTCCTTGAATGAACCTAGATGGAAATCGCTGTGAGAAGTTTTGTAATTATTAAAATAAGTAAGCGCAAAATTAAATATTTGTGCATTTTCTCTTTCATGTGCGCAAATCTGGCCGTCATTGACTCTGTCTTCCTTCACCGAGACCTCTGTGTTTCCTCTTTGTGTGTGTGAGTGCACATTATAAAGTATACACATATGTGCACAATGCTTGTTTAAGTATGAATTAGTGTGTGTGTGTTGTGTGTGTGTGTGTGTGTGTGTGTGTGTGTGTGTGTGTGTGTGTGTGTGTGTGTGTGTGTGTGTGTGTGTGTGTGTGTGTGTGTGTGTGTGTGTGTGTGTGTGTGTGTGTGTGTGTGTGTGTGTGTGTGGTGTGTGTGTGTGTGTGGGTGTGTGTGTGTGTGTGTGTGTGTGTGTTGTGTGTGTGTGTGTGAGCATAGCAGGCCATAACTGTAATGGTTCTTCTCACATCACACCAGCTGTCAGTTCTCTCACACACACGGTTGCAGCCTGCAGGTGACCCCCCCCCCCCCCCACACACACACACACACACACACACACACACACACATATACACACACAGATGTGCACCTCCAGGCCAGGTTGACACACTGGAAAGCTAAAACATAGCTGCTGTAATCTGGAAAACATGAAGCTGCATTAAAACAGATTTTAATGGTCAACTGAGACTCATGAAGCAAAACAGGTGACGGATGTACATGTAAAATGTCAGTTTTATGTAGGGGTTTGAACACTGTTGCATGCCATGATATCCCTATCTATTCCAAGTTAAAATGCTAGCAAGGAACTGTTAGGTCTGCTTCATGTAAACTGACAGAATCTGAGACTCCACATACACGATCACATATTTATCCACAGAAGATTTCTTGGCTGAACACAATAATTTTTCTCTCCTTCTTCACGTTTAGCAGATGTATATTTTCACATCTAGGACCTGCCAGGTAAAACAGTCTATGCTACTAAAGGGATTTAGACTTATGTTATTTAATAATAAATCACAATCACAAATCCAATTTAATGTTTATTTTCTGTGTACTTGTTTGAACTTAGCTCAAACACCAGCAGGCTACAGTTCTGCACCAAAGCTGCATTATTATTATTATTATTATTATTATTACATGTAATTTGTTAGACGCTTTTATCCAAAGCGACTTACATACATTCAGTACTGTGGACTATCCCCACAGGAGCAATTTGGGGTGAAGTGTCTTGCCCACGGACACAACGACATGCAGACTGCAGTGGGACTCGAACTTGCTACCCCCTGATTCAAAGTCCAGTACTCTATCCACTGAGCCACAGCAGCCCTTTAACGTTGCCTTATATGGTATAGAATTACCTGGTTGCTATTCTGCTAATTATCAAGTATAACACAATATAGCAAAACCGTAGCACCTCCGTTCTTAAAATTATGTATGCTTTCGACTTAAGACAAACATTATCCTTGATCTTATTGCCTTACACAAATGTTGTCATATCCTATTTATCCCTGTGTAGAGCTTGTAGTAAACGTTGCTAACAACTTGTAATGGAAACATGGCTGTTTTTCTTTTCTTGCTGACCTCCACTCCTTTGAGTTTATTTGAGCCTGAGGAGTTGGAATGGGTTGGTTGGTTTTCTCCAATTCCCATAACGTTCAATGTTTCACAAACACAGTGTGTAACAGGAGAGGGTCCTAATGCTTCACCTTTGCACTTATTTTAGGGGGCGATATTATGCAAATGTTCAGCTTTATAATTGTATTATGGGTTTCTGCTATAGTAATATAATTGAATGTCAAAGATCTTTCAGGGTTTGGGTTATGTATGTGCACAAACGCTCAAAAATGAGTTTTTCGTAACTCCCCTCTAAGTATTATTACAAAAACGAATTCCTCCATCGCGGTCATAGTTCATATGCTAACCTACAGTTTTTCAATCTTTGCATGTGCACACACACACACACACACACACACACACACACACACACACACACACACACACACACACACACACACACACACACACACACACACACACACACACACACACACACACACACACACACACACACACACACACACTCGTAGCAGCTGTGTATGTGTAACAGCAGTTTTGTTCAAACAACACAAAGAGCATCGGGAGCAGAACATGCTCAGAGGAAGGACTTAGACATTCAGCATTAATCATACACTGTGACACGCACGCACGCACACACACGCACACGCACACACACACACACACCCCCTAGAGGCGGTACCGCCCATTTTCAGATGCAAAGCGCAGACACAGTTGTACAGTAAACAGACATCCACCCACCACCTGCTTTTGTGGGCAAACACACTAACATGTTTACACACACAGTCACACACACACCTCCCTCAGGACACACTACACCATTCAGGAAACATTAGCAGCATTAGCCAGGAATGCTAATTGAAACAAACAGCTCATGGTTTCTTCATTTCTGAGGTGGGAGCTGGCCGTAATGGAGACTTCTGTGTGTGTGTTTGCGTGTGTGTGTGTGTGTGTGTGTGTAGATAACCAGTTTACCATGCCAGAGATCTGGGAACCATTGTACGCTATTATTGTTCTGCTTTTTCTCAAACTTTGCTTTCAAACAAGAAAGAGAGCAAATTGTTCTCTATAAACACACATTACTTCTGACAGAATCAGTGTTCTGGAGTCTGGACCAAAGCAAACCTGATCCCTCTTTCTCTTGGCAATTACATGCAAACACACTCTCTCAACTCCAATCAGACTGTGTTTGACAAGATCTCATTTATTGCAAAATAGATATGAAGATTAGAGTTGCTGCCTAATGGATTCTCATAAAGAGTGGTGCAGGAATGAGTCTTAAAACCTGGATCGACTTAGCAATTTACCATTTCCTCGTCTCAAAGTCAATGGTTTTTGAACGTGTTAGTGGTAAGATCCCTGAAATAGCTTAAAAATATTTTCATGTTTTGTTCTAGGACTTAAAATATATCAGAAATTACCCCACTAGAAGCTTCTGTGTCATAAAAACAGTGGCTGCTAACAAGGATCTAAGAGAGACTACTAAACGTCATCAAGCTTAACATTAGCCGCCTTTAGCTTAGCGATAGTGGTGTGCAAACATGCCAAAATGATGACGTTTGTTTATAGCCTAACGTAAGCTTTTTTCTAGCAATAGCATTTACGCTTCAAAGATCATAAAGTGGCATTATTATGTGGAGATTATCCTGAAATATTCCAAAATCTTTTTTTCCAGGGAGTCATTGCGATGCTAACTTCTGTGTCGGCCTACAAAGATACGTCATCGCTGCACCACTCTTTGTTTGGCCTACAGTTAAGAGAGACGTCCCATAACCAGCTGAGCAAAGGTCAGTCATTTTAGCCTTTTTTTAACCTGAGGGCAGGATCTTAACATTTACATCAACTTTGACCTCCCCCCAAACTTCCCCCAAGCTGTATCTGAGGCTCCCTTACCTGCACCAAAAGCGAAAAAGAAAGTCTGGTTGGGATTTCTCTGCAGCAAGGCGGACACACGGCGGGCCATCCTCTCGTTCCGTTTGTAGATGAGCTCCCGGCGGAAGTAGCTGTCGATCTGCAGCGCGGTCGTGCGGTCGTGAGCTGGCAGCGAGCTGTTGATGAAGTGAGGCAGCTGAGACAAAGAGAGGGAAAATCTGAATTTAAAAGCTGTTATAATGAACGTCCACAGCAGCATAGGGAAGCCCATGAATCATTTTATGCATACATCAAACGCAAAGAGAACTTGTGTTAAAGAAATTGAGGGGGATAGAAAACGAGATGGAAAGAAAGAAGAGGACGGTGTTGGTGACAATCTGGCAAATGTGTGTGTGACTGAGAGTGTGAGAATTGGCAACCGGGAGTGTGTGTGACGTGTCGGCTTGACGGGAAATGACCAACGCAGGAAAGGAGAGGGAGGAGAGAAAATTCAACACCATGAGTGTGTGTGCATAACACATTTTTGTACATGACTGTGTGTGTGTGTGTGTGTGTGTGTGTGTGTGTGTGTGTGTGTGTGTGTGTGTGTGTGTGTGTGTGTGTGTGTGTGTGTGTGTGTGTGTGTGTGTGTGTGTGTGTGTGTGTGTGTGTGTGTGTGTGTGTGTGTGTGGTGTGTGTGTGTGTGTGTGTGTGTGTGTGGTGTGTGTGTGTGTGTGTGTCTGAGTGTCTGAGTGGGTACACTGTCTCTTTTTATTTTTACCTTACTGTTTTTTTCAGGTTTAACCAGTTTTTATCTGTTTCATTATTTATTTGTTGCATTGTACAGTCAGTTGTTCTTGGGTGTCCTGAATGGCACCTCGAAATAAAATGTATTATTAATTGTATTATTATTAGGGCTGTCAGTCGATTAAAATAGTCAATCGCGATTAATCGCAAATTAATCGCACATTTTTTATCTGTTCTAAATGTACCTTAGAGGGATATTTTTCAAGTTTTTAATACTCTTATCAACATATGAGTGGACAAATATGCTTTATATGTTTGTTTATTATCATTTGAACAATCATTCTCATGAAAATGAAACACAACAACCTCTGAACATTACAAATATTCGCCTCAATTCAACCTGGAACCTCTCTCATATAATAATTATAAAAGGCAAGTGCATTTGTCCAATTGCAGTGTATCAACCAGTGTGAATGTGTGTTTAATTAATATGTGATTTATAAAGAGCCAGACAGACAGAGACAGTAAAGCTGGCTCTGCTCCTCTCTTTTGGCTGCGTCCCTCGATCCAACAGACTGTTAATCTGTGAGGATGAGTGGGGGGGGGGGGGTCAGTGCTGGGGTCTTAGCTGTCCAAGACACACACCTAAACACACACACTCTGTCTTGACTTCTTCCACTTCCTGTCAGAGTATCGTTTTACCTGCATTGACTTTTTCTGGCTCTTTCTCTTGATATATTTATGCAATAAAATATGAAATATTAGAGAAAGGTGAGACCCTAAGACACCACAGAGCGTTCCATTGCGTCTGCTCCCGCCTCCTGGTATTCTGTTTGCTGTCTTTTCTTGACTAAGGAACTGTTTTTACTATTAGCGTGCCCAAATTATTTTCCATGTGTAGTAATTCTTATTTTTTCCTTTGACACAAAGTTTGAAATTGGAAAAATATGGCCAGTAGCCATTTCAGGCTAGTTCAGAATCCTTCCCCTTTTATTTATATGAAAGTAAGGCAAGGCAAGGCAAGGCAAGGCAAGTTTATTTATATAGCACCTTTCAACACAAGGCAATTCAAAGTGCTTTACAAAAATGGAAGACATTATGAAAATGGCATTTAAAATCAGTCATTAAAAAGAAAAGATAATAAAATAAACATTAAAAGAAAAAATACATGGATAAAAGTTACAGTGCAGTTTAAGATGTGAATAGTTCAATTAAAAACAGCGGCAAAAAGAAAAGTCTTCAGCCTGGATTTAAAAGTAGTAAGAGTTGCAGCGGACCTGCAGGTTTCTGGGAGTTTGTTCTGGGATGCTCATCCAGATTTCTTTTCTGACCAATAGCTCACCCTCAATAAACTGATACCTTGCATGCAGGAGTGCCACCATTTAAAGAAATGTCCAAACGCAACAATGAAATGCACACACAGGTTAAATCGCTTGTTTCATCTCTGTGTTCCTCTGAGTTCCCAGTTATTTGGGAGTGTTAGCAACTAGGATTTTAAGAGCATTGTTGTGGACACGTGGCGCCATTTTCTTATAAATCTCCAGGTGATCGATTAGTTTGGCTGCACGGTTTGTCAGCAGCCTGATACTCTGAGGGTTTCTGCCTGTTTATTTCAAACCTAGAGCCTGTGTTATTTGTAATAATGGTTAATGTAAGAAATAAAGCAGTAAGTAAAGCAATGTGTGTAGAGTTTTGGCTACTTGTTGATGGATCAAATTAAACTCTAGCTCTGTTTCCACCTGGTGATTTGAGTGTTAGCCTTGAAGTCTTTTTGGTCTGTTGTTGAGTGTTTGGTTTAGTGTGACATGGAAAGAGCAAATTGTCCCGGCGTCACATACATGGTGTATTGTGGGGTTGCTTACAGTTGTTTACAGTTCCTATCCATTGCCACTGGGTTTCAGTGAAGTATAGTATTAGTAAAAACGTGTAGTCTTAAGTAGAGTTTGACACTAGTTTTAATAACTGAAAATCAATATATGGCGACGGCGTACATAAATTCAGAATCTGTAAAAGCTTAATATTGTGCACAAAGAACTTTGTGGTATGTTGGTTCCCCAAGCTGTTTTCTTTTTGGTTGCAGTTCTCCCCCTGTTAATATTTCTGTGGTTTTTACTTTGTAGTCTCTCTTGTACCACCTGAGGCTGCCAGCCTTCAATATTTCCTCTCACTTGGAAAGCTTCAAAAGATGGAGGGATTAGAGAAAGACACATTCACATGCGTTTAATGTGTAATTCTACTTGAGTGTGACAAGAACACACACAGCCGCTGTCTGAAACTGAATTACAAGTTGACACAACAGCAGAACAGCTGCAAGTGTTGCATAAATCAGTGTGTGTAATAAGTGTGTGTGTGTGTGTATTTGTCAATGTGTGTGTGGTGTCTGAATACTGCACTCATAGGGGGATTTATTGTTCCACATGTGAACAAGGTGCTGCATCTAAAATCTCTACCTGACACATTTTCTCTCACTCCCCCGACGCCCCCTCCCACAGTCTGTTTCACATAATGGGTGAAAGGTGCTAATTCACACCTACATCAGATATTTATTGATTTCACCTGTGGTGTGCAGGGGAACCCCACAAATTTCACACATTATAGTCTCTTTACTGGTTTCGGGGAGTACTACTGTGAAAAGTTTGAAAAGGCCTTAAGAGGTTTTACAGGGAGCTGCGTGAAGTTGTTGCTCGGGGCATCAGCGGGGTACTTGAAAAGTGACCAGGTGCCTGCTAATTAACAACATTAAAAGTAAAAATCAGAGACAATAAATTAACATTGAAAGGCCCATAACTCAACATTCTTTATTATAAAATTACCTGACTTATTAACTTGATTGACGATAGGCCTGTACGGCAGATAAATCAGATTTGATGCATTTAAATGTGCTTCTACTGGGGTGTCCGTGGGGTCTTAAGAAGTATTAAAAGTTGATAAATCAATTTAGCAAAAATGAAGGCTATTAAAAAGTATTAAACGGCATTTTCCAAGGTATTAAATGTTGTAGCTTGTTTTCAATGAGTATATAATTTGTCCAAAGAGGTTGTATTCTACAGTCTGCCTGAATGTAATCATTGCGTAGGTGTGTAGTGTGATTCTGTGTAGTTTATTTATGGCATCCCGTTGGATTTGACGTCATCTGAACAGGACATCGCACGCTCACTGCTTGATAGTGTGCGAAGGTCCGCTTACGCCGGTTGTTAAACAACATCGTTATGGGGAAATGCAAGTTTGCGTCCAAATGGTTGGAAGATAAGGAGGAAGGACAATCAATACTGTGTATATAGTCAATGTGAGGTAAAGTGTGTCGCCAATGTAACCGGTTAAAACTCCAAGTGGCGATGAGGTTTTAAAATGTATGGAAAGGGTCTTAAAAAAGGTCTTAAAAGGTTTTACATTTGACTTCAGGATTCCTGCATATACCCTGTTCTACAATTCAGTTCAATTGAGTTTAAACACAGTGTAAACAAAGTTACAAAAGTGTATGAAGAAACCTTTTGAATGTTCACAATTATTAACTCTGGCGGTTAACATTATGTATTTCGTCACATTTGGCATATTGATGGTTGTTAATTACAAGACCTGATCCAATCCAAAATGTTTGTATGACATAAGCCACGCTACTCTCTACACTCAGTAAGGAAAGAAAGCCACAAATAAATAAATTCCCACAGATATCTGGAGCCTGAAGCCTTCACTTGTCTGTGTTTTTTCCGGTGTGAATGACCCAAGTTAATCCGGATAGGCAGGGGTTAATGATTCATAAGTAATATAAAGCAGGGTTGGATGAAACAGTTTAAGAGAGAGGGGGAGGTGGAGAAGGAGTGCTTCATCACTGCTCTGATGAGAGAGGATAACGTGAGTGTTTCATGACGATGTTGGGCCTGAGAGGGGTCAAGGTGGGAGTGAGCACTTAATGCAGATAACTTATCACAGTAAGGGCCATTAACTGCTCCGTATCCCAACCTGCAGGAAACACGGAGTGACAGGGAGATATTTCCTCCCTTCCTCACTACTGGGATCCCTCTGCACTCACTTTCTTAGTCTCTCCTGACAGCAATTTACTCAATGTGACATATGTTTCCTTTATGATGCTGCTCTTTGAAGTCCTTTTTGGTCTTCTTAACTTGTGAGTATGTGTAAAAAAAGTAAGGAAAATGTGCTCCTCGAGATACCTACTATATTAGGAACTACTAGAGTACTTTACCATGTGTTCATATTTATTTGAATAGATTTTGCCAGACAAAAGGATCACAACTCTGCAAGATGGAGTCACAAAACTTTACAGGTGTGTATTTGAGATCAAAAATAACGTTGAGTTCAAAGGGGAAGTAATAAAGTAAGGTTGTAGACAGTTGGGAAGGGGCCATTGGCCTGATTTGGTTTCATACTTTGTGATCTTATCGCAAGACGATCTCTAGTTTTCATTCGTTTTTATCGGATATCTACGGTGGCCAACAGGTGGGAACGCCCTACAACAGCCAAAAACAGCTGGGTCGGGAGTGCTTCTTGACGTTTGGGGATTATAAAGTTGGCCACCTTTTAGTGTTGTTGGAAATGTACCCAAAATGTACGTTTTATTGGCTTATTTTAAGAATGTGATTGCATGATTCCTTCCGATATTATCTGCTGTTGGCTAGCTAGCTAACCTAGTCATTTGAAATATACAGACAAAACACTTACAATTATGAAACACACTTACTCCGCCAACAGTTGGCATTATAATCCCAGAACGTCTCAAAGCGCTCTGGTACCAGCTGTGTGCATCACTTATTAGTGTCCCCTGGTTTCCTTTGTGTGTGTGTGGATACATTTCGGGGCCAGCAAAGCGTGGCAGCCGTGCAAGACTCATTTAAAGGGAACCTATCATGCAAAATGCACTTTTGTACGTCTTTTCTACATGAATATGTGTCCCCGGTGTTCCAGGGAACTCACCAAGTGTCAGAAAACACAACCCTCTCTATTTTCCTCCATACCCAAATCTCTAAAAAAGGGGCTGCAACGGATCTGATAAAAACTGATCCAGATTTGAACACTGTCCTGACGTCAGGAAAGTGGCGCTACGGCTATTGGGCCAACTCCACCAATCAGGAGGAGACAGCCACGGCCATTGCCGTTCGAAAGCGCTGGAGACGCTGTAGTACATATGCCAGGCCAGTAGATGGTGCTGTTCTCACATAATCTGCCCTTGCAAAAACAGAGCTAAACATTTTCAAATTGAGCAAAATGAGGCATGGCTAAAATGCATGATCTGTTTGGTATTTTGAAAAATAAAAAGTATAAATATGCCTTATATAGGTATGGTCCTACACTATATTATTCAAATATAGCATGATAGGTCCACTTTAACAAACCGTGCAGAAAAATTCATCTTGAGTCTCAAAAATGCGCGTGGTCTGAGCAAGGAGTAGCCGCAGAAGAAGCCTTTTTTGCTGAACGTCTAATGTGCTCCCACTGAGGATGGTCTCGACTTTATGTCTGTGGTGAAGTGTTGAAAAGCATCCTGCATCTCTACACTACGAGGCCCATCACAGATCCTTCTCTAATATGATGAAGATTGAACAATAGGAGAGCGTTGGGGGTGTTAAAGGCCTCTTTGGTCCTACTTATCAAAAAACACCTGCTATTTAACGACGCTGTAAATTCTCACACACACACACACACACACACACACACACACACACACACACACACACACACACACACACACACACACACACACTTGGACAAACCTGCTATAGATCACCAGGCTACAGAACCTGGCACCGCAGTGAGGCGTCTGATTGCTCTAGCATGTGCTGGGGAATGTTAATACATGTTATTATGACATGAGGAGCAGGGGAGAACTGGTATGATTTAAAGCGCTCAGGCAGGAGACGACTACAGGTGAAGCTATGTCTAACAAGCTCTTCACAAAAAGGGAGATATGTTTCTTTTGTCAGGGCCTAATAACAGACGCATGGCGAGATTTGTCTGAAGTTGTGCATACTTTCTCTTTCTTTGTGTCTCCAGTGTAAATGATGTGGAATCTTCTCAGTTGAGTGGTGAGTTGAGGTTACACGGTGTGTTAGGTTTAATGAGACTTGAGGATCAGTGAGAGAGGTTGACACAGCATAATTGACTTATGAGGAGTGAGAGCTTGTGTGTGTGTGTGTGTGTGTGTGTGTGTGTGTGTGTGTGTGTGTGTGTGTGTGTGTGTGTGTGTGTGTGTGTGTGTGTGTGTGTGTGTGTGTGTGTGTGTGTGTGTGTGTGTGTGTGTGTGTGTGTGTGTGTGTGTGTGTGTGTGTTATATATTGAATGTCCTTTTGACAGTTAGCAGGGCAGGGTGTGAAAATGAGGAGGCTATCGCTAAAGGAGCAGAGGCTATGTTAGGAAAAGTTAGAGGAGGTCAGATGGCGTATTTACGGCCGAGTCCGGAGCTATTAAAGTGCCAGACTATCAAGTAACTTGAGGCTTACTTGAGGGATTAAGATGGCAACGTGCAGTTTGGTGGAATTGATGTGCAAGCCTAAAAGTTTGAGGTGACGATAGCCTAATGGCAGAGAAGTGGGTATGAGAGGGTTTGCCAACTTAAATCGAGGGTCTGACAGATTTGGGATTTTGAATATCCCTACAGATGGTTTTGGACTGAAGCAGTATTTTAGCTGTAAGTGGTATTTTCTGGGATTCTTTTATTATGTCAGAAACCTCACTATCGCTTCTTTTCTCACTGAAAACGATTCCCTTTTATGTTTTATTGTGTTTTTATTGTGTCTTAATTATGCTCTGGTGCTTTTATGACTTCTTAACATGTGGGTTCATTGATCATTGTACGCCTCCTATGTGGATGTCTTATTGTTTTGTCAAGCACTTTGTGACTTTGTCTGTGAAAAGCGCTTTATAAATAAACTTTACTTACTTACTTACACTTCCATATTTACTTGACAGAATGAAACATTTACACTAAGGCAGACTAAGCCCCCTGCACTAGGTTGACCCAATATGAATACTCAAGAGAGAGTATAGGATTTAATAAGATACCAAAGGGGCCAAGATTCTTCGTGTGGTCGTTGAGACATCACTGAGTGATACATTTCTTACTGTGATTTTACTGAAAGACATGGCAGACAATTTGGACCCAGGCAAATTGGAAGGAGGAGATGTTGTCAAATTGGGCCACATCGGGCAGAGACTAAGGATATACTTTAAGACAAAACAGGCATTTAAAAAAAACTCTTGAATCAAAAGGATAAAACAAATCTGTTCACATCTATCTTGTTCCTTTTTAAATCTGGAGGGTCACGGAAAGTATTTAATTGCAAATTAACCAACCATCCAATATTTAGACACAACTTGTGAAACGTTTACATACGTATGAGATAGGAGCAGGTTTTACTTTTGAATTTCTTGTCCAGATACATGTCTGTCGGGGTCGTTATCAAGGCATCTTTTGGTTAACACTTCACATCATCTGAAGAAAACCGAGTGTGTTGTGCATTAAAGCAGCATGGCTTTCACCACCCGTTGTTTTTGGACTATTTAAAACGTTATAAGTGGGAAAATATGGGAGATAATACGAACAATTTGGGATTGTTTGGCAAAGTGAGATAATGGCATCAGATCATTTGTATTATGCTTGGCAAGCAGTTGATACTCATTTTATGGTTTTCGTGTTCAACATTTGTTTTATAATGAGGCTGCAAAATGTAACACTGTCGTAGCTGAAAGAAGAATGAATATTAAAGGTAGGGTAGGGAAGTTTGAGAAACCGGCTCGAGTGCGCTAGAATTTGAAAATACACAACCGGAGAAAATCTGTCACTTCCTTACAGAGCCCCTCCTCCAACACACACGAACGCGCACATGACCAATGAGGGCACGAGATAAGTTTGTGCCCCGATGGAAGGCTGACAGGCAGGTAGGCCATCCAGTTATTTTAGCCGGGCCGGCTAAAATGATTGGTCGTACTTTTTACAGTACTACGGCTTCCACAGATGACATTTTTTTATGGATTTTTTGTCAAAGCACTTAAGATATTCATTGCTATCGGGATGTTAAGAGCATTCCATGGAATATAACAAAAAGTGTATCTCGAGCCGGTTTCTCAAACTTACCTACCCCACCTTTAAGTGATTCTAATTTTAATTGTAGGACTTACAGTAGGAGTTAGATCTTTTAAATTCTAACCAACCTGTGAGGTGTCATGGTTGAAGATGATGTGGCTGAGGTCTCCACAGTTGTAGTGTGTGATGAGGTCCTCGGTGGTGAAGGAGCCCTGCAGGCTGCCTGCTCGGACGCCCTCGTGCTGCAGGAGTGTCTGGTTCAGAGCAAACAGCACCTGCAGAGAGAGAGAGATGGAAAAACAGGAAGAACTGTTACTTTCTGCATCTGAAAACTCTCTGGGCTCAAGAAGAGGAATTTGCCATCAAGTGGGAGAAATTCTGCAAGCGTGGCCAGTGTTCCTCTGTTAAAATATGATATGACCTTCACATACAATGAAACCGTTATTCCAGAGTGTCGGGCGTAATATAAGTTGTTTTGCAGCGTTTTCATTTCTTTCAGGATATTTTCATACACTTTCCATACAGGCTGACTACAGGTAAAAGCAGACCACAAGAGACATGGCAACACTCCACTTGCTTCTAAAGGAAAGGAGAAAAACGGGAAGAAAGGGAGGGCTGAAGAGAGAGTGAGAGGCCCTTTTCAAAATAACCCTTCTTTCTCTTTCACCGGGCCGGGGTGCCGTAAATTTACAGCAGCCATTAAAATAAAAGTAAATCCTCTTTAGAGAGAAATTTATAGCGTGCAGCCGCCAGCCAGCCCGACAACTCCACAGCTGTCCCAGACACCGGGGGCTAACTCCCGCCCTCTGAAATCCCACGCCACCTCTCACTGGCCTGGCGACTGGGACCAAGCTGTCAATCACTGTTAAGCTCTCTTACAGGTTACCCAAGGTGTGTTACAGGAGATATTTTTATTTCTGTGTACCGCAGATTTCACACAGTTCTTACATTGCACCTTTCAGTTATTAGAACAAGTGACTCAGCTCATCATATCATAAAACAACAACATTTCTATGATCCTAATCACCCAAGAAATCCGACTAGAGCTTTGGAAAATACTGCAGGGAGAACGTCAGCATCCAGGCTCAGATGATTTGTGGAGCAGCTTAAGGCCGATACAGCTGCACAACTGATTGAGCCCCATGTCAAAAGTCTGGGTCGTAATTCACACAATTAGTTATGTTTTTCGCAATCATAAATGCCCATATTGCATGTTTCACCTCCAGGTAACCCCTAACGCTGGGATAATCACGACCCAGCTTTAAGCTCAACCTCGGGACTCTCTCTCTGAGGTCATTGTGTTTGCCTACCAGGCTTGTGGGCTCCTTTTTGCTTTGGTGTGCTTTTATTCCATAATGCAAAGGGACAAGTGATGAGCTAACGGCACATATAACTCTGGTTTAACCCTCTTTACTCTCCACTTTTCCTTCAGAACAGTGTCTATCTTTTTCTCATCTCTCTGCCAGCGCCTAAGACCTTTCTCTGATCATATTTATTCATGTTGACGTATATCATCGACCAAATAGTTTTGCTCTCTCGCCCTGCCAGAGGTGAATAATCCAGAAATGTTCTCGAACAGATATGTGACCATTTGAATCCTGGAAAAATCAACTCAAATCTTACCAGACTTCTTAAACCCAGACTTCCCTCTTGCTGCACTGTATGGTGGTATTGCTAAACCAACGCTTAAAGACCCTGAGGTGCCAATGTGTTCACATAATTAACACTCTGTACTAGGGCTGTGCAATTAATCGTATTTTAATCGCAATTACGATTTTGGCCTGCCACAATTACGAAAACAACATAATCGAAAAAAACAATTATTTTGCTTTGCTTGGTTGTGACCGTGCACTGCAACATATTTGATCTAATTTATTTTAGTCTAATTTATTTGTATTTATCATATTTATATATGTTTAGTAGCTTGGGGAAGTGCGCTCCAAAATATTTGTTGATCTTGTTTATTGGTATTTATTATTTTGATATTATTTATTTAAATGTATCATTTATTTTATTTATTTTTGTATTGGTTTTTCAGTTGAATTATACGTTCAGGGTAATCAACAGTTAAAAAGATACTGTTCAAATTATTGTTTGTATTTGTTTTAAAGTTCAATAAATGGATTTTTTCAAAGTCAATGAATAATCGTATTTAATAATCGTGATATCAATTATTGACCCAAATAATCGTGATTATGATTTTTGCCATAATCGCACAGCCCGACTCTGTACCTTGTCTGATAAATAAAAGTCAGATAGGAAGAGTTTATTTAACACTCTTCTCTCAACTTTTATTCCTGTTACTATTGTCTATTAAACTCAAATCAGCTTTCAATCAGCGCACAAAACATGACTCGTAGAAACACAATAACTTAAATTCGGCAGCCAACCTTTACCTCAGTGTGTGTGTGTGTTTTTGTTTGTTTCTGTGTTTGTTTGCAGCTGCTGAACCTCTGAGTACACAAACCGTGGTTCCTACTTGAACTCTAGCTCCTACAACACTATTATATATATATTATATACCTTATCTCAGTTCCTATTACCATTTCACGTGAGATTTTTCTATAGCTCTAAATGTAAGGTTCTGCCAGACTGATAATTAGTTCTAGCTGGCGGCTAACTAGCTACAGTAGCTAGTTCTGCTACTTTAGATGCTGACTCTGTGCCAGTTAATTGCCATTGCCCCAAGTACTTGACCCACAGGGCTCTATGCCACGTCTCAAACGTTTTTCCAAGAGAAACACCGGTCGAGGGTAGTGGGCTGGCAGAGCACACACACACACACACACACACACACACACACACACACACACACACACACACACCTGTCAGGCTGTTTGTAAGACTGCCAGCTCCGGTGGTTTCCCTTAACACAGCAAACAGCAGCCGACATGACGGACGAGAGGGTGCAGTGAGGGATGCATGGTAAGAACTGAGATGTGTGTGTGTGTGTGTGTGTGTGTGTGTGTGGTTAGTTGTGTTGTTAAGGGAGTTGTTATTTCAATATTGTCCGTCTCCCGGGAAGAGAACATCCCTGCAGCTGTAACCATGGCGCCTGCGTTTGTGCTGGACTCAGTGAAAGAGCATGTCAATCACTGCAGGAGGCTGAGGGGAAGAGAGAGGGAAAATGCAAACATTTGCGGTGTGTGTGTGTGTGTGTGTGTGTGTGTGTGTGCGCTCACGTGTACGCGCATACGTGTGAATACAGTATGTGTGTGTCACTGGCTGTCAGAGTGGGTGTTCTCATGCTGAAGTGGTCCACTCACTCTGACAGACGGGCTCTTTTACAGCCAGGCCTTTTCAAAGTAACTAACATTGACTCTGCTCACCACACAGTTCACCACTGCAGGTCTCTCTTTCCCTTTTTTCTCCCCCTCGTCTGATGTATGCGTGAGAAACTCTCATTGTAATTAATGAAAGCTTTATAAGAACAAAGCTGGAAGGAGCAGAGCATGCGGATGGTTTTGGAACCTGTGATCTGAGCGCAGCACTCCAAAAATTCATTAGCGAGTGTTGGGAAGAAAGCAGAAACAAAGGGGCAGGGCAGAAGTGGGAGCGACATAAAAAAAAGAAAAAGAAATCAGAGAGATCTTTCATGTTTCAGAACATGTCATTTATCGACATGTGTGTGCATTGTAGCAATTGACCTTGAAGTGCGTTAAATCCTGGCGGTATGCTAGCAATAGTGTTAGCTTGTTTGAAGGTTTTACTGGTCTGAAGCATGAGTAGGTGCCGATGACAAGGCGTTGGAACCTATAGAGCTCAATCTCGACGAATACATCACTCCACTTTAAAATACCTCCTTAAATCTGAATTGGGGAACGGGTGTGATGGATTGTGCTAAAGGGCTTTGGGCTGCGAAACAACAGAAGGAAGTGTCAAACTGTGGAGGCCAAAAAAAAAGTGAACTCTGGTAAATAGGAGAACATATAATACCCAGGATTATTTTTTACTTTATAGCTGGAGAAGTCAGTAAAAGCGAATGAAAAGTGCACATCATTCACAGCAGCAGTAAATGCATAACAGTTTGAATCCTGTCCCTCATATCCACTTTCCCAAAGCCACACTTAATTTCTCTATCAATTACTCACTTCTTTTCTCTGTTGTAAAACAATGAGTAACTATTCCACTGCTGCTAACTGATGGAGAAAAAAGAAAGAGAGAACAAAGAAAGGAGGGAGTTATTGGAGGACGACAGAGAGCGGAGAACAAAAGCTGGAGAGAGTTGAAAGTGTGAAAGAATGGTAGAAGACAAACAAAGCCTTGTTCTCGTTGAGAGGGGGCATGTGTTGTGCAGATGGAGGTGATTCTCCTTCATTTGTGCAGTGCAGACTTTGGGTAAGGATGTGTACACAGGGCATGAGTTTAGACATGGCATGGGCACTGTATGGCAGTCAGGTGCATGAAGGCACGATGGTGCGTGTCAGGAGATCTGAGAATGTTTGTTATTTAATAAATATACAATTTACACCAGCTTTACTCTCAGTAGATTTCTCCTTGTTTTGCCCACTCAATTGTTGTCCTCTCAGGTGTTAATTGTCATGAAAGTTATCAATCCCACCTATTTGTTTACACCTTTTATTGGTTTGGACTAGAGGAAATATCATGGACTTTGTTAACTGTTAACTTGCATCAACCTTGTGACCTTTTTGGTGTCTATTTGAGACTCAGACGCAAATCTTAAGCAGCTGATATTTTTCTCTAAGCTCCTGAGATCGTTCATGTAGATAACTAATAGAAATCCTAAAATGTATAACCTGAAAACCTTAAAGTCATGAACAGCAGTGCTTTTTTGGTAAATGCTATATTCAGAATGCTCATATGCTCCTATGCAAATGCTAACATTTTTAGACGGAATAATGTTTACCATATTCACAATTATTTTTTTACCATGGTAACGTTGGCTGATTAATTAGCACTAAACACAAAGTACAGCTGAATCTGATGGGCATCTCATTTAGCATGTTATCATTAAAGACCATATCTCATAGTAAATGTATGAAACACCAAATTCAGTATGACTTGTGCTCTGTGCACTATAAATATCTGCACAACATTTAACGCCATTCTGTCAAATCGTTTTTGACCAAAATGGCAAATAATGGCATTCTGCGGTACTGATACTCAAAAATGCCCTGCAACCCAAAAAGCATTTTCCACTTAGACCGCCATTATAACAGAGACATCTGTAAAACTGTTGACAGGACACGCAGAACAGCTAACACACTCAGTTATTACTCTAAGTATTATGGATTTTTAAACCATGAGGGTTTAA